GTTCCATGGGCTCATAGAAGAGCAGATATGTCCCAACCTTAATTGTTCGTCCACTAATTGGTGGAGTACTAGCAACTTAGGTTTAGTCAGTGGCCACTGCTCCACCCATATGGATTTTCCCAGTGCCCAACTGATAGGTGGCACTCGGGGGGGGGGGCGGCTGTGGCCCTTATGATTGGGGGTATGCCTGGATAGGCCTCAGGCTCCCCCCTGTAGTTGTGAAGGTTGAAAAAAATCCTCTGTTGTCCCCTTTTGGTCCTTTCCCACCCTTTGTGCCTCCTTTTCTTCCAGGACATCCTCAAAAAGCCTGATGATCTGTGGTCACAACAGCGTCCATTTGGCCTAGCATGTCCTGTCACAGCAAATTGGCAGTAAGGCCTCTACCACTAAGGGGTGTATCTTTCTTTGGTCCCCGTGTGGGCTCGTCCAGTGCATTAAGGCCACTGTTTCTCTTGATTGAGAGTTACCTCCCACCCCCAAAACTGAGGGCCCAGGTATGAGCTACCAGGTGGAAGTTACTTCCCCCTCCTGGAGTACTGTCCTGTTTGCTCCTGTGTCTACCAAAGAGTGAAACTTATTGCCTAGAAAAGTGGTCATTTTTGGACGAAGTACTTCAATCAAGGGGACAGTCCAGTAGGCTTGAGTTGTTGGGGTGTGAGACCTTCCAATCCTACCTTTAGAGAGGCTTCTTTCCTTTTTTAACGGGGCTGGAGGCTGCCCCTCCAGGTCAAATTTTGATCAACAGTCCTTCCAATGGTATCCCTTCTTGCACTGAGAGCATGGGGTTGGGGAGGGGGGGCTTAGTCCCTCCTGGCTTGATAGCCAGGGTGGCGAGGGGTGTTGAGGACAGTCTCTTTTAAAATGTTCCTCCTGCCCACATCTAAAGCATGTCCCTTTTCCTAGTGGCCTTGAGGACCCTTGACCCTGGGTTGCCAGGGCCTGGATGATGACCTCCATCATCTGTGCCTGTAAGGCCAGGGTAGAGACTGGGATTGGTGGTGTTGGGTACCTACATCTTGGGAGGCTACCACCCAACTGCTCAGAGAACTCTCTTTTAATCCTGTGCAGGCCATTTTATGGTCCCCATTTATCCCTTCTCATACCAGCAGTCTGATAAATTGTTCTCTAAGGTCTCCGGACGGCACCTTGCGCCATATGCTCTGTTGG